ATCATGTTGGGATATTTCTTATTTCCTAGCATTTTGGCAATGTCCTTCATATAACATTTTTCTCTCTCCTTACAGGTATATTCTAGTATATTTTTATTATGGATTAAGAACTGGTGGTCAACCCCAGCTGGATTACATCAGCATGGCCCTGAGCAATGATGCTCCACCTGAGGAAAGTTGCCAGCATAAGTAGGTGGAGAAGAAAGGAGGTTGTTGAGGTGTTGAGGCGTTAATGCGTTGTTGCATGTGGGCTCTCCTAATGTGTTGCTGTTTGAGCTGTTGGTTCTCCTGGAGAAGCTTTGGTCCTCACATCGATATTGCTTCCTGGCTCCGGAGGAGAAGACATGTGCTGCTTGGTTTCCAGGATGAACTCATCACACTGCTTCCTGGCACATACCCAACTGTGCTTGTCTTCGGAGGAGCTCCGTGTCGCTGAGGACAGCTGTGGTGTCTTTCAGGACAGCCCTGGTCTTTGTTGTGAGTGTCACTTCTCAGCTCCAGGATAGAACCCTCACCCCCTCAGCACAGCTCCTTCATCCTGCTGGCATAGACTTTCTGGCTTCCACTGCTGACCTTTGGGCCTCCCCAAAGGAATGGATCTGTAAAAGAGACTGGCGTGAGTTCTTCTTGTGGGCTCTGGACCTCCAGTTGGACTCGTGGGAGGCATTGTCATGAGCTCTGGGTTTTTCTCTGGACTCATGTGGGACATTGCTATGGGATTTAGGCCCTTGACTAAATATTTTATGTCTTTGTGTTGCGGATGGATTTCCTGCATTTTCTTGTGTTAACTCCTGGTGAGCATTATAAAAATAATATTATAAACTTCATGTCCTGATTCTAATTGTTCTCTGCACAACCCCTGACTACAACAATCTTCTACCAAATCTTCATTGCAAATACATTGCCTCCTAGTTTAATTAAGCTTAATGTCATTTAATTAATCTCAGTACTCAATCTTGCTCTCCCTCTGAATGTAAAAAGTCAATGATTTTTAAAACTTGTAAACAAAAGATTTACACATAGTAGAAGGATGATAAATGCACCAAACATTTATGCAGAACAATTTTTGATTGTTTTTCCTTCTCTTTCCCTACAGCATTCATTTTAACATTCTTTTATTCATTTTGCCATTCTTTTTGCCATTCTTTTATTCATTCAACATTTATTGAGCAGACTTGTCAGGCATCAGGATAAGTGCTGGAAAATAGTAATTCTGACACGCAGTGTTTTACAGCTTAGAGTTAATTTTCACATATATTAAATTCATTCAATTCTTAGAGGTCCTCCCTTCATCTCAACCCTGTTATTCCTCTCCTTGTAGCTTTATATTTCTTTTAATATTCCTTATTTCTTTTCTCAAATATTTGGTGTACAGAATATTTATAAGTGCTTTGGGGCAGTGGGACTGGGGAAACCTGGCTGGAAGAAGCGGGGGAAGGACCGAGGTGAGAATTTAGATGGAGGTTTCCAGCATCACACACTTCGGATCAAAGAACGAACCATTTGCAAGGAAATTATCCATTTCTTGGGAAAGTATAGAGTTATTTGGAAAAGAACAATGATAGTAATGCACTGTATCTATTACATAAACTGAGTTGGAACTAAATTCAGAGCTAGTAGTTTTCCAAATCTCCCCAACCCCCCTTCCAATAAGCACATTTAATATACTGGACATGCTGAAGTTATGACTCACTTTCCCATGTAAACTCTCAGGCCCTCCAGCCCCAGAACCAAAATATTTCAATTATATTTCCTCGTATTAACCAAAAGGCAAGAAACCGAACATACAGAATTAATTTCTTCTTCTTAGTCTGGCTTTAGCCATAACGCCCTCTTGCTGTTTTCTTAGGGCTTTTGCCCTTTATTTTCCCTTTTGCCTAAACGATTTCTTTAGTCTCAGTTTAACTCACTATTACGTCTTGTGCAGAATCTGGCTCCTATAAGGAAACGCCACTAGCTTGTAGTGGCTAAGAAACTTCCTGTCAGGAGGAGGATCACGTTGGCAGACAGAATGCCGCTTGTGCATAAGTATCTTTCACATGGGAGGCTGTACTTAGGGATCACTCTGAGAGTGCTTCAGGGGTTCACAGGATTCCAGCAGCTGATGCATTCCATAAACTACTGGGAGGCATGCTAAATGTGTTCCTCGTCCAACCTTTCCTAACATGCTTGGCCTCTACCTGGAATGCTCTTCCTCCGTAATGCCATGCGGCCATCTCTTTCTGATCATTCAGCTCTAGTGGTCACCTTCACAGAGAATACTTCCATTCTGTGCAGACAGACTAGTATCCCCATGCTCATTCTGCTATCTCATTAGTTTATTTTATGACATTTATCAGCACCTAAAATGCATTTACTATCTGTCTCTTCACAAGACTGTAAGCTCAAAGAGGGCAGACTTTTTTTTTTAACATACTGCCTGGAACATAGTAGTAGGTCCTGAATATACACTGGTGAAGTAAATGAGTGAGCACCAGATACTGGATTTATCGAATGCTTATAGTATGTCACTTCTGTTCTAGCACCACTGCTAATATAGCAATGAAGGAAGCAGAAAGAAGTCTCTGGACACGAGTTCACATTTTAATGGAAGGAACTGACAACAAAGAAAGACAGGGGAGCTGTAAAAGTGGGGCCGCACTGCACCGAAATGGGCAATCAAGAAAGGAGACCTGACCCGAGAACAGAGGACAAAGACTGGGAGACAGGTGGGTTGGGAAGGAGTCCTTCAGGCAAAGGGCCAAAGAAGCACAAAAGCCCTGAGAAAACAGGCACTGTAGGAGTGCCAGCAAGCTCTGGAGCCAGTGAGAGGGGGCAGGTGAGCAGGCCGGTTCCACTGTGGTAGGATCTTGTAAGCGGCTAGGTCTTTGGATTCCCCTCTTGTGTGACATGGGAAGCCACTGCAGAGCCCTGAGCAGAGTGACAAGTGTAATTTTGTTTGTTTTGATGGTAAGGGGACAAGGGTGGAAGAACTTTGAAGACCCACGCAGTAATGCAGGAAAGAGGTGACAGTGGCTTGGTCCATGGTGGTGATATTGAGATGGTGATGTTAATAACCTGAAAGCATCTTGCAGGTAGATCATGGGTTTTATCAACATAACACAGAAATAATTAAAAACTATGTACACAATTGATACAAAGAAAGTTTTACTTGGATTTACAGGAAAGAGATCTGTTTTGTTAGGTCTGTGACACTGAGGTAACAAACAGGATTCACCTTCTAGAAATTCAGCACTGGAACTTGGAACTGTCAAGTCATCTGCTACTTATCCAAAGAACAGAATACAACAAGAGTGCAAAAATATTTTTGGCATCAAAATCTGTACTTGCAATTAAGTGAGTTGGTTTGAGGCTTGATCTTAATTCAGCACAGTGACATGAATGCGGTAATTGTTCCGCAGACATAAACATTTCAAAATGAAAATGACACTTATTCGTGAGAAGACTGTAAAACTCACTGGACAGCTACACAAAAGGGTAAACATTATTATCATGAACAAAGAGCTTGCCTGATTCACTCTGACTGAAGGTCTCTACTTCAAACTGAGTGGGTGACTGCTCAGATCTCCGAGCCTTTGCGTACTGGGCTATATCAAACACACCTTGCTTATTCAATTCTTGATTCTTCACTAGCTGGCACTAGCAACCAACATTCACTGACCCAGTGATTTCTTCTCTATGTCCCTCTCTGTCCTGTCAGTTATCAGATAGTCACGAAGATGAAATTTCAGAATGTGCTGAGAGCAAAGGCAGGAAGTGTGTTCACAACCCGGATGCCCCTTTCGCCCAGCTGTGGAGAGCAGCCTTCCCAGAGACGAGTCCAGAGGACTGCAGTCTGACCAGAGAGTAAAATGTGCAAGAACAACAGAAAACAAGACCTTCACATACACAAATACCAGCTAAGGGCTGTGGTGTTCGCCTGTAGTCTCACCTCCTCTGCAGGAGGCTAAGGCAGGAGAATGTCGTTTGAGGCCACTGTGGGCAATTTAGCCAGACCCTGTTTCAAAATAAAACAAGGGCTGGAAACGTAGCTCAGTGGTAAAGCGCTTGACTAGCGGTAAGGGTCTTTGGCAGGATAAACACGCAGGTGGTTTTAACAATTACATAGATTTCGAGTTTGCGGCACTATTCACCGATAGCTGAAAGGAAGCTGCCACCTTATTATTACCCCGAGCAGGTAAGGAAGGCTGACTTGGTCACCCCCAAGGGGCGTGTGGGCGTTCCACAGTCATCTTTTGCCATTTCAACTCAAGGCCTCCTATTCTGAAGTCTTCCAATCAGAGCTGGACCCTGCACCCAGAAGGTAAAACTCTCAGAAAGCGTCCTACGGCTGAATCCTGAGGTTGTTCTTTCGTTTCTAGGAATTTTTCTAACCTGTATGGCAGCAACGGGAGTAAAATCTGGCTGCTTCCAGGCTGGGCTGGCCTCTCCAGCTTTTTTTGTTGTTGTTGTTCTCTCGAGAGAACTTCCAGCGACAGGGGGACAGAATGCGGCAGCCACTGCTGCACTGTTCCGTAGTCCGCCGGCTCGAGGTGGTCACGCAATTTCCACCGGCCGGGCGGGGATGCCAGAAAGTTCACGTCTCCTTTCCAGCGTCCCCGCTTGGCAGGGGACTGCCGCTCTGTAGCAACAGCCTTCTTTCCAACAGCTAGTCCCGGGCGGGCCCACTCGAGCAGAGGGAGAAAGTTGGGCGGGACGAGGGAGCTGGGAGCTCGGAGGAGAGTCGGAGGTCCCCTGCGCGCGCCCGAGAGCCGGGGTGGAGCCAGCAGCCTCGCGCGGCGTCCTCCGCGGAGATGCGAATCGGTTCCTCGCCCTCTCTTCCCTCCCCTCCCGTGCCCTCCCCTCCCCCCCGGGGGCGAGGCTCCGCCGCCCCGCCCGCAGCCGCCCACGCCTCCTCCTGCGCGCAGCGGCCCGGGCGGGCGGCTCTACTTAAGCGGCGCGCGGGCCGGGACCCCGCACTCGCCTGGAGCGCGCGGCGAGGCGGGCGCGGCGCGGCGGAGCTCACGGGGCGCACGGCGGCGCGCTCGCACCGTGCGGCTCTCGGCGGCGGCCGGGGTGCGGGGCTGAGCGGGCGTCCCGGAAAGGCGGCTGCGGCTTCCCACCGCGGCCCCGGTCCCTGCGACTGGCCCAGCCGGGCCACCTCTTTCTGCCATGGCTCTGGCGGACAGCACGCGCGGATTACCTAACGGGGGCGGCGGCGGGGGTGGCAGCGGCTCCTCGTCGTCCTCCGCGGAGCCGGCGCTTTTCCCCGACATTGTGGAGCTGAACGTGGGGGGCCAGGTGTATGTGACCCGGCGCTGCACAGTGGTGTCGGTGCCCGACTCGCTGCTCTGGCGCATGTTCACACAACAGCAGCCGCAGGAGCTGGCCCGGGACAGTAAAGGCCGCTTCTTTCTGGACCGGGACGGCTTCCTCTTCCGCTACATCCTGGATTACCTGCGGGACTTGCAGCTTGTGCTGCCCGACTACTTCCCTGAGCGCAGCCGGCTGCAGCGCGAGGCCGAGTACTTTGAGCTGCCCGAGCTCGTGCGCCGCCTCGGGGCGCCCCAGCAGCCGGGCCCCGGTCCGCCACACTCTCGGCGCGGGGTGCACAAGGAGGGCTCGCTGGGTGACGAGTTGCTGCCGCTGGGCTACGCGGAGCCCGAGCAGCAGGAGGGCGCCTCGGCTGGGGCGCCGTCACCCACGCTGGAGTTGGCGAGCCGCAGCCCGTCCGGGGGCGCGGCGGGCCCGCTGCTCACCCCGTCCCAGTCGCTGGACGGCAGCCGGCGTTCTGGCTACATCACCATCGGCTACCGCGGCTCCTACACCATCGGGCGGGACGCGCAGGCGGACGCCAAGTTCCGGCGGGTGGCGCGCATCACCGTGTGCGGCAAGACCTCGCTGGCCAAGGAAGTGTTCGGGGACACCCTGAACGAGAGCCGGGACCCCGACAGGCCCCCAGAGCGCTACACCTCGCGCTATTACCTCAAGTTTAACTTCCTGGAGCAGGCCTTTGACAAGCTGTCCGAGTCGGGCTTTCACATGGTGGCGTGCAGCTCCACGGGTACCTGCGCTTTTGCCAGCAGCACCGACCAGAGCGAGGACAAGATCTGGACCAGCTACACCGAGTACGTCTTCTGCAGGGAGTGAGGCCCCAGATCCCTGCGACTCCAGCGCCCGCTTCCCCACTTCCTTGCTAGGGGATAATTACAGGTCTCCCCTCCTGCCCTCTGTTCCCTGGTTCCTCCCGCTGTCTCCTGTAGCTTGGCCAGACCTGTTAGCCCCCATTGCAGAATCTGCAACCACAAATCCTCTGGGCTTCGTCTTCTCTGGATCTGGCTAACCAAGAGCCCTCAGACCTGGTCTCCACCCCATCCTTCCTAAACTCCCTGCTTCGAAGCACCCCTCCCCCCGATTGTACTTAAGTCTGGATCTAGTAGGGCGGCCTGGCCACGAAGCCACCAAATACCTGGGAATGATGGAATTAGACGGTGTCCATTGTGTAGAAGCTTCCTTGAAGTCTCAAGCCCTTTTGACTCATTTGCGTTTTAAGAACTAGAACTGAAAACACTGTCTGGGGTAGTTTTGTTTTTTAGAGAGCATTAACAGTCTCTTTAAAAGTAGAGTTTTAGAAGGCTGGATGGGACTTCGATAGTGGAATTAAAACCCCACAGAGGCAATTCAGTGACTGTAAATGAAAAAAGTTTTGATGAGTTGAAGGTTAAAGACTAGTGTGGGTACAGTGAAGGGCTGAATGTTTTGCACACAGACTAGGTCTTCCCTGTAGTTTATAAACTGGTAGAAAGAAAACCTCCTGCCGGCGGGGGCGCCCTTTTTCAGGCTAGTGCTAGAAACCCCGTATTCCACGGGTTGATAAGGCAGTCTTCATCGGCAAGAAAGAAAAAGGGCGCTTGCTGCTTTCTAAGAGGAGCTGCCCCCGCCCCAAGCGCTGCGGGGAGTCAGCTGGCAGCGACTAAATGCGGAGGGGTAGTAGTGCACGTTGTGGGCAGTAGGATCATGCAACCATTAGAACTACGAATTGGGGTGGGGTAGGGTGGGAGGGAGGAAAGAGGGGAGGAAGGGTGGGTAGGGAGGAGCAAACACACTCATTTATTACCTGAAAGTGGAAAGTTCGTACCATCTGTTTGAGTACATGCACGTTTAAAAATTACCAAGCAGTAAACGCAGACTTGCAAAGCATTTTATTAAGATAAGTAACAGACCTATTCTTAACTGGTAGTTTATTGAACTGTTTTGAATCCTAAACTTAGAAGTTGTCAGTACTTGTATAACCTAACCAAAGAGTTATCCAATAGGGCTTTATTTTTTGAACTTTTGTTGTATAATTAGGAAGCCTGATTTAAAAATATACTTGAGCAAAATGTTTAGTTTTGGTTACTTAGATTTAAGTTTTCTTATTAAAAACCTTAACTTTCTCCAAGTCCAGCTAATGTTGACTGCTGGACAAACCTGAAATATGTTGCTACTTTCGTGCAATTTGTTTGAAAGTAAAGTGGAATCTTTTCAAGTGACAGAAGTGTAGAAAAAAAATGTAAGCACTGAGGGCTGCCCATCTGTAGATAGCTGTAAAAAGGAATATTTTTAAATGAGGGCAAATAAGCACTTAAAGGAGAGCTGAGCAATAAAATGGTGTTTTAGGTAAATGCAACAGAAACAGGAGACCTGGCTGCCTTACGCCTTTACACTCACGTGGAATAAATTCCCAGTGTATCTACCCCTTTGTACACTTAAGAGAGAGACACAAATCCTTCTCATGCTGAGAGGCGCCCTTTTGATATTCTGTGATGATGGAGAAGCCTTTTTGTTTGTTTCAGCATCTTTCTCAGAAATACGTTTTTAAAGATTTTATGAGTCGTTTTCAGTGTTTAAATTAGTGCTTTTTTCTTTTAAAAATAAATCTTGTACTGTATCTTACTATGTTCATGACAGATGTTACAAATTGGACAGTTATTCTTAGACACATGTGATTCAATCTGTATATACCATTTATGAACATTTTACAAGAATTATTTAGTTTTTTAATTCATTTACTAATGCTATAAAGTTTCCTATATTTATCCCAGTAACTTGCATCACACAATGTATATAACTAACGCAATATGTTTTCATGAGTTTATGTTCTTGTGTATGGGAGATTGGGCCAGGAAAAAAATATGTAGTTGTAAATTGAGTTTGTGCCATACTTTTTTTCTTTGCTGGGGTGTTAGTCATATACTAATCAAATGTTCATTAACTGTCTACTTAAAATCAAGGTACTTGTATTTTAATCCATTAATTCATTTTAATTGGGAAATAGATTTAAGTTCTAGCTACATATTTTAGAAAAGTTAGCATTATATACAAAGCCTAATTTTAGCAGAAACCTAGGAGGTTGTGTTTGCTTATATGTTTTCTCTGTCCATTATGTGTCACAGACATTTTTCTCTTCTGTATGGCATCCTTGTTAGACTACTCAGTTAAAAAGCACATGATTGCTGAAGCTTGAGGACAGACCAGAGTTACTGACAGATGGTAAATCTCAGTAAGTCTGATTCTGGTCAAGTCTACTCAACTCCAAGAGGCATGAAAAACGGATAAAGTTTGTCTCTGCCATTGACTCTTACAAGTTTCACCTTGTAAAACTTTGAATTGAACTGTCTCACTGTCTTACATATCTCAGTCGCTCTACCCCTGACCCTGCTCCTGAATTCCCTACATTATTTAATAGACTGGGAATTTAATTTCAGGGACAGTAAATCCACCTCTTTTTCTAAGAATCACTGTACCATCTGAGGTTGGGCAGTACATGAAAACTTTCTACTTTCAGTGATAAGGATTGGGCAACTCATTTTATGTTAAGTAGATATTATAACAAAAGTAAAGATAACTTCAGACCCCTTTCCTCCATTTGCTGTGCTATAGAAGGAAACCTTAAGGTCTGGGTGTCCAGTGTCTGTGTGACTAAGCACTGGAAAGATACCATTCCAATTACCTGGGAGAATGTTGTCAACTGTTCCAGTAATTACTGCTGCAGTAATCTGGCTCAGAGAAGCATGCATTCAAATATGTTGTGTTCATTAGTATTTGATGTGCATAAATACAACTGAATGACATTTACAAGAAATTGTTGATAGCGATGGTTAAAAAAAACCAGGTACCATGTTTTCCCATCAAATGTTTGACACATTGCTTTTTAATATGTGTAGACTATGAACTATATTCACTTTAATTTTTCAAATACCATGCTGTAGAAATTTCTTTGAAGATATGAGACTTAATTTTTTCCATTTTTAATACCGTTTTTATTCTTGTGTTTCTTACTTGGATTTTAGATTGATAGCAAAGTGACGATTCGCCAAACTTGTCTTCTCTTTAGAACTAGTTATGAGAAAAAAAATATATATATATTCCTGTTGCTTCTCTGAGGAAATAAATAACATATTCAGATCAAATGCCAGTGTTCATAACATATTCTACTTTTTATTGAAATTTTCCATGGAACGTTATTACATTAAAGCTGTGTAAGGTGAATTTTGATAATTTTTTTACTGTTTAAATTATAGTAAATTCTAAATTTACATAATTTAGTACTCCTATATGAAAAATGATAAATTACAATGCAGACGTTTATTGATTGGAGGGGTTGAATTCCTTAAGACTTTCGTTTATAGTCTAAATTACAAATACTCTACACAGTTGACTTGTTTTAAAAACAGCTGAATTTTTTTAATTGTAAACCTATCAGTGTCTATCTTTTGCTGTAGTTTCCTTTTTTCTTTACTATAAATCATATAAAATCTGAATTAATCTTTGTAGAAGATCCAAGTCTGTCTCAAGAAATGAATAAAATATAGTATTCTTAATACCAGTATCTTTAGTATCTGAAATAGGTTGTTTTTATAACCAGAAACAAGTTATGTTGAAGTTAACTTTTCTTTGTCAGTGTTCTGGACAATAATAGTCTGAAAATATTAATACTTGAGGATTTAGATTCTCTGCTAATACTTGAGGATTTAGATGGAAGAAGTTCAACCAGAATATATCTCCTAGAGTATACTCTTATGTGGAAGGAAGATGAGCTAGTTGATCAAGAATTCTTATTACTTCCACATTTTGTAATTTTTTCCAAGCTAGTTTTTAAATTCTAAATGTGTTTTAAGGTATGTGAACATTAATTGTAATGTAAACGATTATACAACTGTCTTTGTGAATTTATAGGGAGGTGAATTTTGCTAAAAGTATTGAATACAAATGATGAAAATTCACTATGGCCACTCAAACACCATTAGTAGGCTTTTAATGACAAAAGGTTAAAACATTCTTCATGGATGTGAATTTTGAAAATGTAATTTATATGTTGTTTAACTTTTTCCAGGCATCTGAAAAACTCATTTGCTGATAGGATAATATTCTTACAGAGCTCTCTAGGATTCTGAACTTGTTGAAAATGTTGTATGTTAAATGATACATATCATTGAGTCATTTTCTCAAAAAGGAGGAGGAAAAAATTAAGAATCTAGCTTTTCTAACAGAAAACCAAGAAAGAAAAAAAAAATCCCCTCTTTTTTTTGAAAAAGGGACTGATGAACTCTTTTCAGCGATGCCCAAATTTTGAGAATTTATTTAGTCACCTAAAGACTCTAGAGATACTTACTTTCCCTGTTCACAACCAGTTGTATAACAGAAATACTCGATACTGTTTTCTCTGTGTGTGAAGTAATGAATCATTGATTATGTGACTTGTTATGTATTCTATTAAACACTAAAGAATAAAACATTCACTCCTTTAATTATTCCTCTTCTTGGTATGGATTTGCTCAAACATTGGTTTAATTTCATTTAAGGGACTCGAAATACTACAAAATGCTTTCCAAACTGTTATGGGGCTAATGATGAGCTTTATGCATCAGATCTCCTTGGTGAGTAATTGGGCAGCCGGGCCAGGCATGAACTGGTGCTTTCTCTAGGGCTTATTGCTAAGAGCACATGGGCACCTTACTGGGGAAGAAAAGTCCTCTGCAAATCTCAGTCTTTGCAAATTATACCAATTGTTGGGAACATGGAGACTATAGGTAAAAATAGCATCTTAAAAACAAGGACCTAGATGCTGTGAAATATACCTTAATTAAAAGTACACTTCTTGAAGATAAGGCTTCGTGAATGTTGAAAAAGACCCACATTTTGAATAGAGAGGCACTTCACTGTATCATCTGCAGTTTTTGAAGTTCTAAAGCTCTAAAGTGCACAGTGATAGATTGGGAAATCACAGAGACCTGGGTCTGCTGGGTTATGGCACAGGAAGCTGGGAGCTGGGTGGGTATAGTGAGCCAGGCTTTGCCCTTCCTCTTTCTTTCTTTCTTTCTTTCTTTCTTTCTTTCTTTCTTTCTTTCTTTCTTTCTTTCTGTCTGTCTGTCTGTCTGTCTTTATTTCTTGTCTTTATTTCCTGTGGATAGCTTTTGTTTTATGTATATAAACACACTTGGTTAATTGATATTATTTGCAGTGGTGGGGATCACATGCATGCAGGGCAACACTACCGCTGAGGTACATCTGTAGCTCCGATGTGTGATTTGAAAATTTAATACATAGAATTAAAAATTTAAGCAGTCTAAGAATATATCTGAAAAAAAAGTATATACCTGATAAAAAATGAATCTCTGTGTTCTAGCCCCAGGGGAAACACTGGTGTATCTTTATAGAGCACTATACATATAAAAACATATATACATTCCCATTTCCTACCCTCTTTTTTCTATTCAGTAGGAATTACACCTATTTCATACATTGGCTCTTGTAATTGCATAACTACATATCTGGAAGTTTCTGCGATGCAGGAGTATGTAACAATGCTTTACATTGTTACCTTTGATTATTTGATAGTTATATGACTACACGATATGACATTGTCTTGTCCTGTTGTTTATTTTACCAGTCTTATTGGTAGGCACTGAAATTTACAGGTTAAGCTTGTTTTTCAATTTGATTGGTTTAGTATCTGCCTGGAGGATTGGTGGAGCACACTTCTGGGTGTAGTTAACTACACCCAGCATGACCTTGGGTGTTATGTTTGGTCCCTTGCCTCTTCTTTTCTTACACCATTTCCCTTGTGTACTTCCCAGCCATCATAACCAAGCAGCTTTGCCCTACTCTGCTCTTCCACCATGTTTCCGCCTTAGAGCTAGCTGCCCATGAACTGAACCCCCTTAAAATGTGAGCTAAATGAAACCTTTGAGTTTTGGGTATTGGGTATTTTGTCCAGCAATAACTAATACAGCAGGTTTTTTTTTTCTATTGCAGAGAAGGCTGTATTGAAGGTGTTTATATATATATATATATATATATATATGTGTGTGTGTGTGTGTGTGTGTGTGTGTGTGTGTGTGTGTATCTGAGTCTAGCTTTTGTGTATAGAGAGATGTTGTCTTAGTTACTTTTCTCTCACTGCTGAGACAAAATATTCAGCGCCCAAAATTAAGGAAGGGAAGGTTTATTTAGCTTACAGCTGTGGAGGTTTAAGTCCATTATCACCTGGGTCTAAAGCAGAGTGGCACATGGCAACAGTTCATGGCAGCAGAAATCAGAACAAGCAATAAGAGCAAAAAGGGAGGAGCACAACAGAAGACTCTGTCCCTTATCCTGGATGTAGGTTACCTAGCCTAGGGTGGGTGTAGCACTCACACCCAAATTCCAGCGTCAGACTATGAATTAATCACAAATTCTAGAAGCTCACCTCCATGACTGCATGAGGCTTGAGAAGACATCCAGGCACAAACCATAACAGACTCTAAGAGAGAAATAAGCTAGTGGTACCTTTTCCATCTTTAGAGACTGCGAAAGTTCAGTCAGCCTCTGACTTATGTATGATTGTCCAACTCACAAGTTTTCAATTTTATGATGGTTCAAAAGCAACATCCATTCAGCAGAAATCATATTTTGAGTTTTGGATTCTAGTCTTAGGATGGTGATACTTGGTATAATATTCTCTTATAATGCAGCTGACACTCTTCAGTGAACTGTGTAGTGGAACTCTGGTGGTTGGTATGTTAGGGATTGTTATATTTTAGATCTAAGATGATCCCCCAAAGTCTCATGTATTTTGAGGTGGGGCCTTTAGAAGGAGATTAAATCAGAGGGACCTGGTACTCACTGGTGAATTATTGATGAACTCTTAGCTGACTGGGATGTTATGATGTGGGGCCTGACTGGAAGACATGGGTCATTGGGGTTGTGACCTGGAAGGGTGCTTTCTTGTGCTGAGCCCCTTCCTCCCTCTCTGTTTCCTGCTGTCCTAGTGTGAGTACCTTTTCCTGTCCTATACCTCTCCACCAACTGTTTCAGCCTTGGAGCCAGTGAACAAATGGGAACTAAAAGAACATTTTCTCCTTTAAACTGTATATATCAGGTACACTATTTGTTCCCAGTGACAGAACCATACTAACAGAGGGATATTAAATGTACTTTTGATTTACCATATTTGCAATTTAAGATAAATTTATTAGGATAGATCCTCATCATTAGGTGGAGGAGTGTTTATAATCTGTTTCATCAGAAGCTCTCCAAAAACTGGGTGTAGTAGAGGTGTGAACTAAGTCTACATCCCTTAGTTATACAAGTGTGAAGTCATGTCATTTTTAATACTTCTCATGAGGCATGAATTATGACCAACACTTGAATTTTAGGAATATAATTTATGTAAAGGAACTATAATATATCCTCCACTTCTTAAGAAGCTATCTCTAAGAGTGTTGCAAAATGAATGGAAGAGATAGTATAAACATGGGGTGTATGAATATTGATTTTGATACTAGAGATGTGTCAATTTAAGCTATGCAATTAGGTCATTTAACTGGATAAGTGACTTATAAGAAATCTTCATTTATAGAAAATGATAAAATTATATGAATTAAAAAGTTAAAACCTTAAATATTGAAGGTCTTCTGAACTGGTAGAATCTCAGGGAATTGCTGTCTTCAGACATTAAAGCTTGTTGATAGGAGTGGTAGGACTGAGAACTTGTATTATCTGTTGGGGTTGTTTTTTGATGAATAGTTTAGGGGGAAGTGATAGCCTCTTAACTTTTCTGCTTTACTCTGCTCACTTGCGAAGTTTTGAGGTAAATATCTCTCTGGGCTAAAATGCATCTTTCTTTCCATTCATAAATCTCCCATGAGTGGCTAATGGGGAGAAATAGAAAGGGATACTTAGGCCAAAGACTTTTAACTATCTGCTGCATCTTTGCCTCATGTATAGCCATTTGAATTAATTCACTGGTTCATTCAGAATCACTTGAGCACCTACCCTCTGATAAGGGACATTGGAATGAATGTGTAAGACACAAAGAAAGGTAATGAAAGGATTAGTAAGGGGGCTGAGAAATGATGACTTGGAAATACAAGGTTAAAATAGCTGGGTCAGTTGTGGAGTCAAAAGGGTGGATGGGGCTGGGGATTTAGCTCAGCAGCATAAGCTCCTGCCTTGCAAGCCTGTGGTCGTGAGTTCCATCCCTGGTACCGGTAAAACACACACACACACACACACACACACACACACACACACACATACACACACACACACACAGGGTGGATCACTAAGGAAAACAGTCTTGCCTTAGGCTTGCTGGAGGAGATGCCAGAGCCAGAATGTAGTGTTAAAGTGGAAGAGGAGGAAGGTAAGAGGTCTCAAAAGCACCAGTTAGCTTAGTGTGACAAGATCAAGAGAGTTGGCTTAGGGGCTGGAGATTTAGCTCAGCAGCATAAGTAAGCACCTGCCTTGCAAGCTGGCAGTCGTGAGTTCGATCCCTGATACCCATAAAAATGAAAAAGACAAAAACAAAAACAAGAGAGTTGGCTTTGTGAAACAGCTTTGTGATACTGAAACTTGACTAAAAAAATGAAAGCCTACCCTCATGTCTCATCAGAAATAAATAAAAAATGGAAAGAGAACCAAAGCAGAAACATCCATAAAGAAAGCCAAACCAAAAAATCAACAACAACAACAAAAAAAGTTGTTGGAAGGGCAGTGAGAACCAGTTCAGGGGTCACTTCATAGGCCATTTTAAGTTTCTTAGAGTTTACTGAAGAATTTGAAACAAAATGTGAGGAAATCAGGTAACTCTGTTTTGCAAATTCAGCTTGGAGACTCAGTAGGGGTTGGGTTTGAAAGGCACAGCCAGGAGTGAGAAGCCCTTTAGGAAGCTGTTCATGGGACTATAGGTGAGACAGCCACATTAGCCCATATATGGCAGATCGCCCGCAAGGTGACAGACAGCATGCTCACCTTCTCCCTTCTGGCTGCTCAGGCTGTGCAGTTTTATGGATGAGTTTGTTTGGGTAATATTGGAAATCCCGTATGTGAATGACAAATTCTTTTCTACTGTCAATTTCTAGGTCTCATTATTTAAGGGATGCAATCTTTAAAGAGATTATTTGTTTAGTAGGCATTTTGTTGAGCACCTATGAGGCACAAAGAATCCTGAGTTAGTTTCAGCAACTATTCATTGAGCCTCTCATTTCCTGGAGACACCACCCTCTACTTTCAGGTACATTTCTTTACCTTCGTTAACAGAAAGTAAAATGACCAACTGGCCAATTAAAGGGCCTTGGCTTCTACAACTATAAGAAATTACGAGAAACTTGGCATCCTTGGGTTTACAACCTTTGGAATTTAATGAACAGTACTTTAATCCCGTCACACATCCCAAATTCTTTGAAATGCACTTAATCCTAAGAAAGAATTTTTGTTCTCATTTTTCACATTAAAAAAGATGAAGTATAGTAATGAGAGATTCTAA